CTCTCACAGCTGCGAAGGATTCCATAGTCTGCCATGTGCGTTTGGTCTGACCGTCATTATACTGGTCCTCCGCGTATCTAGTTATTATAATTAAAAAATAAACATAGTTTAAAGTAAAGATTTTTTGAAACACCAAATATATTTATTTAAATGCAATATGGACTTAAGTCAAAATCTCAATAAACTATAATTCCAACAAAAATTTTCAAAAGTTAAAAAACCTAATAGCTACAAATTTATAGTTAAAAATCCTGACAATTAAAAATTCTGATAAAAAATATTATAAACTATAGCTAACTCTAGTCTAACCCTTATCTAAAGTGCTTTAACACCTAAAGTTAATTAAATTATAAGATCTATTTTGTTTTTAAAATATCTATATTAGGTATTTTTAGCTGAAAACTCTGATTAACAAGATTTTTAATTGTAAAGATTTTGACTGTCTAGAGTTTGTCAGGATTATGACTTGTCAGAATTTAGTTAAGATTTTGACCTGCACATTAACATGACAATAATATCTCCTCATATTTCTGCTTAGCAATTTTCATTAATTCTGCAAATTCACCACTTTTTTCACACATTCTCCTAAACCACCCATCAGACTTCTGCATCAATAAGTATGGAATATCGAATTCCACTACATTTCCATCATCTAATTTTTTTTGAAAATAATTAATATTACAAAACTATTAAAAATTTCTTTAAAAAAATACATACCCATAACCAAAATTTTATCATAATCCATGACAGTACGCAATCTATGCGCAATAGTGATAACAATACTATTCTTAAACTCTTCCCTAATTGTGGCCTGTATTAGATGATCAGTTTTAAAATCTATACTTGCAGTAGCTTCGTCCATTATTATTAGTTTTGAATCACGAACTAGTGCTCTGGCCATTGCAATCAGTTGTTGTTGACCTTGGGAAAAATTTGATCCATTTTCTTTGACAGGTGTGTCAAGCGTTATTGCTTCTTGTTTATTATTTTTCTGATCTGAAATAGAATGAATAACATTTGATTCTTCTGGTTCTTTTTTTTCAGAAGTAGGGCTTGAATTATTAATTAATTGTACACGCCTAAGCGTGTTCCACAACTTGAGATCGCTATGCTTGTTGAATGGATCCAAGTTGCTTCTATTTTTTTAAAAAAGAATTCAGTAATCAGTTTATAGATGAGATTTAATAAAAATTTATATAAAATAAAGATTTTTACTTACCTAATAGTACCATTGAATAGTACTGCATCTTGAGGTATGATAGTAATATTACTTCTAAGATCTTTTAATCCAATAGTACTGATATCAACATTGTCAATTACAATACTTCCAGAAGTTGCTTCAATAAATCTGAAGAATGACATTGCTAATGTTGATTTCCCACATCCTATTATTTAAGTGAAGTTAAATATATGAATATTGATACTTCTCAAGCTGAATTTAAAATTTACCAGTTCTACCAACAATTCCAATATTTTCAGCAGCCATAATATCTAATGAAATGCCTTTCAAAATTAGAGGACTATCAAGTCCATATTTAATTTCCAAATTTTTAATATGAATCTATCCACGAGATGGCCATTCAGGTAGTGGTTTGTTATCCGGTATTATACTCTTGGCTTCTATTTCCAATTTATCATTGTAATAAACTAAACGTTCCACTGAATTCATATTTGCTTCCTATTATTATACAATAATAAATTATTAATTTAAAATATATTATTAAAAGAATTTTATCATTTGTCGCGGGTGCGTTGTGACGCACTCCATAAGATCTGGTGTAGTGTGAAATCAAAAAAAAAACCAACAATGCATTAATTTAGGGTAAGGGTTAGTACTATTGTAAGGTTGGGTTAAATTGTAGTAAATGTTGGTTATACCCAAAATTTGAACAGAATTTTTTTTGTTAGAACGCAAAAGATTGTTTCATAAGCAAAATTATGAGTTATCTCAATTTCACATTACACCTGATCTTATGATCTATTGGTCAATCAGGTGGGTGCGTTACAACACACATGTGCTAAATTATATAACCCTTATTAAAATATTATTTACTCACCACTTCAGTAAAATATTTGACACACAAATTAAAATATAATGTAAGTCGAAGTGCATAAGATAATACTAATCCAGTAATTGAAGGTGACACATTAAATCTAAAAATTATTGCAAATAAACTTGCAAAAAACACTATGATATTTGCGATAGCTTCAAGACGCAATCCAAGCCATCGTTGGGCACATATAATGAGAAAGTATGCTCTATTTTCGATATCTAAAAATGTTTCATTATTTCTATTTTATTTTTAAGCCTATTTTCAGATGAAAAGAAAATTATATTAAAACAACTATATTGAAAATTTTAAAAACCTTAAAAATCTTTCTTGTTCACGACAAGCACGAATAATCGGCAGTCCTGTAAGTGTCTCAGAAAAATGAGCATATAGCGAAGATCTTAATACAGAATGAATGCCTATAATAAAAAAAAATTTTTAAAACAGTATATATCTATATAGTAATTTATTGTTAAACAATGATGATAATAATAATTACGCTTTAATTCGCGACTAGACGCCCGGTAATAAAGAGCCGTTAAATAATAAAGTATGATCAAAAGAACCAAAGGGATAAGAAACCACACAAACACCACTGCAGTCAGAATAAAAATTCCAATAATGTTTGATAAAGTTGTGAGAAACATTCGATATGATTCAGAAAGTAAATTGTCGCATATGTCGATATCATTACTGAATCTAGATATTAAATGAATTTGGATTAGAAAATATTATATCTTAAAAATAAAATATTAAATGATAAGTTGGATATGACAATCACCGATTAATAATTCTTCCTAAAGGAGTTGTATCAAAAAAACGTGTTGGTGACCTTAATACACGTTTAATTGCGTTATTATGTAATCTCTTAGATGCATTGACACCACCATAAGAAAATGCAACACTACTTAAAACAGCAAAAATCCCTTGAGCGACTCCCCATGAGCCATAAACTCCCATCTATCAATGCAAATTAGTGTAAATAAATTAGTTGTGTCTGGTTATACTGTAATTTAAGACTTTATAAATTTTTAAAGATATCTACATAATATCCTACTGAAATGTCAAACGTGTTGCTGGACCAGAACGAAAGCCATAAATTATTTCTATAAAAAAGAAAAGACAAATTTGTAAGCTTAGCAATTTCCTCAATTATGTATAAGATTATGTATGTATTAAGGTGAAACATACCCAATATCTGTTCCTATCGTCATAGCAAGTAAAAAAATAATGACTAGCACCAATGACAATCCACCCACATTCCTAATATATGCTAAATATATTTCATTATTCACTGCTCCTCTATAAAGTTCTTCTGTTGACATTAATGTCTTATACAAAATAACTGTCTGATCTTTTTACTTTCTTTATCGTCGTCTAAAATTTGCTCTTTGTCTTCTTTTATTTCACTATCATTTTCAGCCTTACCATATTCAGCAATAAACTTTGAACAATTTTTCCCATTTTTCATTAATTCTTCGTAAGTTCCATGTTCGGCGATTTCACCATCTTCCATACATATTATGTAATCAACTTGTGGCAGATAATGTAAATGATGTGTGGCAAGTAGACGTGTTTTTTTGGCAAGTGCATTTTGAATACAATTTGTAAATAAATATTTTCCAACATGTGCGTCAACTGCAGACAATGGATCATCTAATAACACAATATCTGCATTATAGTATAAAGCTCTTGCAATGCTGATACGTTGTTTTTGACTGAAGAATCAGAATAGATTTCTTTTTTTTAAAAAAAAATGCGGTATATTTTTATTATTAAGTAAATATAATTAATAAAACAATAACATACCCTCCAGATAAATTAATTCCTTTCTCTCCAATTTCAGTCAAATCACCAGCAGGCAATATTTTTAAATCTGGTTCTAGACAACAATCTTTAATTACTTGTCGATACTTTTCTTCATCAAAAGGTAATCCAAAAGTAATATTGTCCCTGAGTGTGGCATTTTGAATCCATGCAGTTTGAGGACAGTATCCAACATTTCCACCAAATAGGACTTCTCCTTTAATTTTTTTCATTTCACCAACCAGAGCAGACAATAATGAAGATTTACCAGACCCTACAGAACCAATAATAGCAACCAACGTTCCACGAGGTATTGAAACGTTAATGTTACGAAGTTGAGATTTTATAGAAAGTGGCTGAGAATTTTCAAGATTTTTAGTCAAATCTGTGGGAGTCAAAGGTGTGGAGATGTCAAAGAAGCAATTATTTGAAGCTGAAACCTTTTCATTCGAAAGAATAGTTGAAGAATCATTTTTTTTATGATTTTTTGAATTTTTTTCTTTTTTCATGATTTTTTTTGATTTATCGTTAATTTCTTCTTGTGGAGCACTTTCCCAAATAAATTCACCATCAGTAACTTTAATAGCATATTGTTCGTCCGGATTGATTTCCGGTAAAACTGATAATTCATCAGCTTGCAAGAATTCATTTATCCGATTAATTGCTACATAGGCATCAGTAGCAGAAGCTATAGCCTTTGGTATGTTCATTAAAGGTATTCGAAGAACGTTGAATAATGCCAAAGATGAGAATACGACTCCAGGATCAAGGTTACCTCCTGTCAATGAGAATGTTATAAATGATAAGATACTAGCGAATACAGGAACGATCTAAAAAGAGTCAATCACAAATAAAAAAAAGATAAAATGAAAAAATAAATAAAATACTGTAAAAGCAAAGGTATAATTAAATATATAAAATTTAAAATAAATATAAAATAATTACCATTGAAACACTAGCAATAGAATTTCTAATAATTAATAAAAGCCGAACCAAATTAATTTCTTTGTTTCTTAATTTATTAAGAGCATCAATAAAACTATCTTCCCAAGCGTAATATTTAATAACTCTAATCCCTAACAAAATTTCCCGAGTTAATTTAATCCGTTCATCGGCAACACTAGCAATTCTAGCTCTGGTACGTGCCAATAATGACATAACCATTCCCTGCATGGGACCCATTAATACTAATAAAGCAAATCCAGCTAATGCAGATGGACCAATATTAAATATTAACAAGCCCAATGCCATACAACATTGAATAGGAGCAGCCCAAAATGTGTGGAAGTAAGCGCATGCATAATCTATACGCGAAGTATCAGTAGACATTAGATTAATAATTTTTCCATTAGAAAATAAGTTTCTTGCTTTTCCGCTTAAGACTAAAACTTTCCGATGGATAATAGTTATGAGAATAGTACGAGAGAGAAACCCGATTTCCATTGCACAATAATAATAAAAATTTAATGAAAAGTTAACACCCAATTGCATTAAGAACAAGACGACGATTAACAAGTAGCCAATATATGCGGGGGGTTGCACACCGTTATTAAAGTTGGCAAAGTATGCATCAGTGACAAAGTTTAATATTAACTAAAGAATCAAGAATATTAAGAGAATTTTATCATATTGAGACGCATCATAACTAATCACGTGGAAATACAAAACGTACCTTTAAAATCAAAGGTGATGTAACTGTGAATGTATCAGTAAACAATCTACAAACACCAGCCAAGTAAAATTTAGCCCACAAAACCCTGTATAGAGCTTTTAATAAAGATGGATTTTTTCCCATCGCAATTTTTCGAGTTTCTTTTTTCCATTCGACTTCAAACTTATCAGTAACAATTTTAGCCAATCTTGCGTCGTTCAAAACGTATAGATCATCTTTTTCCAAAGGACGTTTATAACCTAAGCTTATTAAATCGTTGGCCCACCACATAATAAGCTTAGAAAATAAATTGGCTTTTGCCTCAGGTATTTCAATGTTTGGATGAGGAGGAGGAGGAGGATTTGAATTCTCAAATATCATTATGTAATCCAATTAATAAGAAATATTTGTTTTAGAGGGTAGCAAGATAACAGTAAATTATCTATTATGGGTAGAGTTACTATTATTTGAGAGAGTGCCTATAATAAACCGGGATAAGAATTTATCTTAAATAATTAATTTAATCAGGGTTGGCATCAATATATTGGTCACGTTTAATTTATTGATTTACTTTTTAAAGCAATCGATTCTATTTACTTTTTTTTAAGGGATGGCTAAGGCGGAGCGAAATTTGGGTCACCTTTTTGATGCATTTATGGTTATTGGTTATAAAGATCTCAAGAATGTAATTTATGCAGTATGTAGATCATATATTGAATTAACTCCCTTTTTTAAGCAAAATCTTTATACATATTAACGTTAAATGTCAATTTTGGTCAGTCGATTAACATTAAGCTTTTGGTTGGATGTTCTTTGTCAAATATAACGCCATATTTTCGTATTTATATGATTTATGACCCTTGAGAAATGTATGTCATACTCGTTGGTCTTCAGGAGCTTGGAGTTATTATGACTAAAATTAGTCCTGAAAATTATACGTTTGTTAGTAATTAGTCGGCAATAAGTAGATGCTAACTTCAAACACCTTGTATTCTTAATTTACGTTTCTAATTATCAAAACCATGATCAAAGCTATATTACTAGGGACCCGAAATGCGAAAGCATTAATAATTCTAATTCGGGCTTAGTTCGAGGTGAAGCTTCATTGAGAACAATAGTAAGTGCTTTGGTATTCATATAGTGGAAACTAATGCCATAACCATCTAAATGTGTATGAATTGCTTATTGCTAGCAAAGATTCTCCACAATACTCTAAATAGTATAATTTGCTTGTAATATCTAATTCATAGTATAAAAGTCCTAATGCTGTTTATAATATGTAAAAACCCATTGATTTCATGAAATCAAACGAACAATGTATATAGATAAGTAAGAATCATAATTATTAAGGACCATTTAACCTCAGGATTTAGGTATCAACTTGAATTGTGGGTGGTTGAACTCATGATTTTAACTGAATTCATGTTCTTGTTATGGGCAAACCGTGACCCCAAGGTTTAGAAAATTAACGCGAAAACGATGCACGAACGTTACGCAAAGAATCGTCGTACCACAATGCCCGGAATTCCAGAACCCGAATTTCGATCCCGTGAAAATGTATGTGCAAGCTAAGCCCTCATCGAACGATCTCATTGTGAAAAAGACGCTTACCCGATTCGGTTTGACAGCTGTCAAGGTAATATTCCCTTGTCGGGTTATGTATGTGGCCGTGGAAGAAGAAATGTGAATGAATCAATGAATGAGTAAATGAATAAGTCAACGGGTAAAGAATAATGATGGCGTAGAAGCCTTCATTTGATTTGCCTTCTTTTTCCTTCTGTAGATTTCAATGGTAATGGCTATGTTGGACATTAGCCAGAAAAGGGTCATATGGCTTGAGTTTAATGACTGTCTAATGGCAAAAAAGAGGAGGAAACTTTCGATTTTGTTATTTTCTTGCCCTGTAAATTTGTTATAAATAAGAGGTCGAATTACACTTGTCAAAGTGCGGTGTGTGTAATTTGCCCTCTACACATTTAATAAATATAAACCTCTAAGTGCAAATAAAATTATAACGTTATTTAATTCTGCCGAATTACCCCTTTGTAATAATACTCAACTATAGCTTTAGACTGCCAAATCCAAACCGTTGAGTAACTTTCCGCGACGCCTTACTTTGTTGCGTGTGAGTTGTCTAATTAGCCTACAACAATCAATCTCAATAATGGGTACGTTCACGATTTAAATAGTAAATTCAAAATTTAGTGGTAGATTAGGTTTGCGATTTGAACTTGGTGGATTTGTGACCCTAATAGTAAATAGTTCATGACTTAATGATATATGGATTCATGATTTCAATAATAAGTGGCTTCAAAATTTCAATAATGGGTAAATTTGTGATTTCAATTATAAATGAGTTCGTGCTTTTAATAATAGTTGTGTAGTAATTTTAACATTTGTATTGTCGTGATTTCAACAGTATGTCATTTCATAACTTCAATAATGTCAACAGTGGAGTGAATGTATTTACTAAATATTTCAGTGGTGAGTAGGAAATTTAATG